GATCATTCATATTAAAAATTGTAAGAATTATTGATAAAAGTAATCGCCATGACAAGATAAATGTTCCAGGTTTCACCATTTATATACTCTCGTTCTAGTGATATTCCAGATGAACCAGGTCCAAGGGATTTTGATAACGGCCAAGAATCTTTTTAAAGTACGGATTGTCGTATATTTATGTCCTACCTGAAAATATCGATAGTTTCCATAGTAACCGTGTATCTTTTATATTTTCAGCTAATTTATCTATTATCTTCAACGCTAATTGTAAAAACGATATTTTACTCCATTACATTAAAAGAAAATGTCAGTGTTCAGATAATGGTGAGTTTTTGAATCAGTCGATAAGAAAAGGCCTGTCAAGAAAAGTGGGCTATAATAAGCAATGTGAATAAGCACACTCTGCATGACCCTTTTACGAAAACGTCGCAAGCTATCTGGAGCGATGATGGCAACTTGGACATTCAGGCCTACTTGAATATAGACTAAAGCATGATGGCTTTACATGTTCATACATCATCAGGATCAATAGATTCGAGAAGTTTGATCTTTGGGCTGAACTAAACCAAACTACTTTAAGAAAGGCGTCGTACTAGCACATTTTGTTTTTAATCAAAGAAATATCAAGTAACCATAGATATCAAAATCACTACAGGCCTAATGGTGTTAGGCTGCTGTCGGGATTTACCAAACTTCATTTATTTGTGTATTTATAATAGATATTATAGAATTATCAGATGAACGAGGTCAAGTCAAGAATATTAGAAATAACAGGAATCAGTATGGAACCAAATTTATAAAAGACCGAGAAAATGTAATTCTTCTAAAAATTGATGGTAAGTTTTGTAATTTGATTATATATATTCTTGATTTGACCATGTGAATACATGGCGTGCATGTAAAAGAACCCTTGGCAGTTGGAATTCGATATAAGAATAAACCGTAGCCTTGTCTGGACACAACCTCATAGCACATTGTTTGGCGTATGCCCGTCTTCATTAGCCCATTCCGAGCGGAACAGTAGGACGTTAAACTTCATTGCATTTCATTTCATAATTAACACGTCATTTTTTCTAATTTTTTTTAGATTCCATTCCAGAGACAGATTCAAAGAAAACCAAATATATACCAATGTTGGTGGAAATGCAAGAAAATAAAGCTTTTATGGGTAAGAATATTGTAATATATAATTTTCAACCATGGTGATCTCAGAATGTGAGGGATTAACGTTCTATTTTTCTGTTCCACCCAGCTAAGTGAAGACTGGTGCCATACAGTGTGCGTTGAGGGAAATTGTGCACAGACAATACTGTCAACGACAAGACGGTGTTCCTTGTCAGGACTATGGACGCCAATAACTACCATTCATAATTTCTACTTTTCTCCCCTTCAGAACGCGAAAGTCGAAAGTTAAAAGTTACGACAAAATGTGAGGCGACAGCACACTATACAAGCCATAATCGACTCTAAAATAGGAAATTAAGAAATACTACACCACGATAATAGCGCCCCTCGTTATTTCCTAATTTCTAATTTTCGACTTGCATTTTGGCTTATATACCGTCTTGTCGACTTTCGACTCAGTCATATTTTTGTATTTATCGATGGCAGTAAGAAGGTGCCAACACTATGGAAGCCTATAACCATTCATAATTTCTACTTTTCACCCCTTCAAAATAAGAAAGTCGAAAAGTAGAAGTTACGACAAAATGTTAGGCGACAGCACGCTATACAAGCAAGAATCGACTCGAAAATAGGAAATTAAGAAATAATACACTGCGATAATAGCGCCCTCGTTTTTTCCTAATTTCTTATTTTTGACATGCATTTTGGCTTGTGTACCGTCTTGTAGTGTATTATTTCTTAATTTCCTATTTTCGAGTCCATTTTGGCTTGTATAGCGTGCTGTCGCCTCACATTTTGTCGCAACTTCTACTTTTCGACTTTCGTGTTTTGAAGGGGCGAAAAGTAGAAATTACGAATGGTAATGTCCTGAGGAATGTTTTGTTTAACAACGGGATCGAACGAACGCGGGACCTAGGTTAGCGAGCCAGCGAGTTACGTACCTAATCACTGCGGCTTTCCAAACTGTGATGAACTTAGACGTGTGTCATCTTCAATATAAGGTTTGATCTCGCTTTCACTACGTACATCTTATCAAGGCCTTCACGTAATACCCTGCATATTTTGGCACTAATTTCGATTGGATACAAGCCCAGCTTGTGAGCCTATCAAATTCCTCGATCGTCGCGAATACCAAGTCTCGAGCTTTCAAGCTAAAATGTCTACTTGTCAAGGTTCATTCAATGTCAAGATTTCCGTGGAGGTCGCGATGTCACAACCTCTGATTGGACGCTACTGCTCACGTGTCTGTAGATAATATAGCTTTAAGTTCGGGAATTGTGAAGGAAACAAGCAACGGCCAGATGTTGTAAAACTCGCAGTCGTTGCTATCAGGAACATGGGTGCATACGTCGTTGTGATTCCTGATAGAAGGGTAACATCACTGCTTGGGCGCATATAACTGTTATTTTTTCTGTTTGAAATATAGATGCCGTGAACTATGGTAAAATGGGCGAAGATCCGAATCAGCGAAGAGGCTCGTCATCTGCAGGCGCCGATCATGATGATCAGCCACCGACTAGATCAAAATCAAAGACTAGTGTATCTAATAAACGAAAGGGTATTGGCAGACGACAAAGTTCACGTGTGCTCATAAAAAGATGATTGGGGTTTTTTTTAGGGGTTTTGTAAAAAATATTAATTAATTTGTAAAATATTGTTAAGTTTCTGTATTACACTAAGTTGTTGAAAAGGTAATGCTATTATTTACATTAAAATGGACTTCGCAATGTCCTCTCTTGTCTGCTTGTTTGTTTTTCGGGAGCCCTCGTCTGCTCATAAAAAGATGATTTTGTATATTATTTATTAAATACTTACGTATTGTTAATTTAGTTATCTAATCAGAATAGTACTTATCATTTTCTGATTTAAAATAGCAGTTAGTTTTTATTGTTTCTTAATCAGTGGCATAGCTAGGATTTTGGATCGAAGGTGCGAAAAACCCAGTTTCATATGAAAGTATATTGGGGTAAATAAGTGGCAATTCCGTAAAGTAAACGACACATGTTTTTTTTTAAATATTTTATACAAAAACAGGATGCCGGACACAGCGAAACTAGGGATTCAGGGGCATGCTCCCAAGAAAATTTTTAAATCTTGTCTTTGTCTAGTACAATATTGGTGAATTTGATGCAAATTTTGGCTGAATTCCTTGGTCATAGATAAAACTGATATTTTGACTGAATCACATCTTTATTTTGCACCCCAAAATACCGAGACTTACTGGTATCGATCTAAAGCTGTTTTGGGTGGGGTTTTTTGGAACCACAAAATATAGCTCTGCAACTGATTTTAATTTTTTAAAAAGCCACTGTGAGTCACTCAATCTGGCCTAAAAATAGAATAGTTTCTGTGATACATTAAGAATTGAGAAGACAGTATAACGTTTGTCGGAAAGATTACATCTGACTTATCGGTTGTAGGACGATTTTTATGTCAGATAGGGCAGGCCCTTCTTGGTTTGCAGACAAAGCAAATAATAACAATGTTGACGGCAAATTGTTGAAGGTGAAATCTTTTGGTCGATTCATCTGACAGCCATGCAAATTTCTCACGAAACCTGGCATAGAAATTTGTTTATCTTACAAGTCAGCCATGGTAAAGATTTTTCAACAGCCAAACAAATTTCCCACCTCCTTCCTTCCAGTAACTACTTCCCTGGTATTTTGTATGGGTAACACTAAACATCTGACAAAGATATAAATGTGGGGAACTATTATATTAACTAAATGTTTGCGAAACAATCAAGTCTTGAACAAATTATGAAGTTATCTCCCTTCTGCTATATATATTATATTTATACACATCCATCATGCTTGTGTTGAAAGTCGTGTCATTATCAGACCAGTTTGTGGTAAATATGTATTCTGAGATGATTATCATACTGTTTGTCCTGTTAGTAAATGTGTAATTATGTAAAATTATCATTTGTCTTGTTTGTAAATACATGTATATATCTATTATCTGTTATACTATATCTTTATATACATGTTCATATTGTATGCTGTCCTTAATGGATGTCTTGATACAATAAAATCTTATCTTATCTTATAAGCCAATCATGTATCTTGGAACTTGATATCTGATACCAATTCATTAAAGAATTAAGTTCAAGAAAGCATTAAAGAAACAAGCTCTGATTTATGTAAAACTCTGTACTTCCTGCAGACATTTCCACTCTCAGAAAAACATTTTAAAAAAATGCAACTGTCGACCCACAAATTGAAAAACCAGCCCTTTCCTATATGCTAGCCCTTTACTCTGGAATAATCTCAAATAACACCAGTAGGCTGTTTTAAATCGCAACCCAAAGCATTTCTTTCCAAAAACCTGATCTATAAATAATCAGTGAAATGACAACTACTTAGCATTATAAATGGCAATATTATTAAAAGAATCACAAGACCACATTAAATACCTGAAGGTGTTTTTGAGGGGGACTTAATTATGTTGACCTTACAACTGAGAGCAACCGGCGTTTCAGCAACTAGCTTCAACTGAATGCAACTGAAAAGGGTCGACCTGAGCGTCACTTACAACTCAAAGCAACTAGTTGCAGTCAGTTGTCCATCTTTAACTTTCTACAATTTGCTTCAACTAGAAGCAACTAGTTGCCGTCGACATGAGCACTCTTACAACTGGCGGAAATCGCTTCCATGGGACTTTATAAATAAGCAAAATGGAAGTGAACGAAGACAAACACTTTTCAATTGATGATGACTAATGCAGTCAAGGTATGTTGCAATACCCTGACATTTGAAGAAACCACCATCCTAGACAACAGTCTCAGTAATGGAATTTGTAGCCGAGAACCCCACATCTAACATGTCTGCTTTTCATATAGGATTTATACAACACAAAAAAACAAAATCCAAATATATATATAAAAAAAACTTTTTACTGTTGGAACGATATGTATGATACAAAAACATACATAACATAAAGATTAACTAATATATATAAAGTTGTTGTGAAATATACAATATGTGAGGTTTAACCATTACTGTCAAAATACTGAGATACACATTCTACATAATAAACAAACATATACAAAATATACATCAATAAACACAAATAATATAATACATGTATTAACAATACCATTAGTAGCAGAAACCAACAAAATATGATTTCTTTTCAAAATTAAATTTTCTCTAAGATCTCTCTATTACCAGTATGCAATTGAAATGAACAGATTACTTATTTGTAAACACTATTAAGGAAAACAAAACAAAATGGATAGTATAATGTTTGAAATTTGCCCTCTTCATTATCCCAATTGGTGCAGAAAAGTAGGATGTTAAACCCCATTTCTCTTCTTTTTAACATTTATATGAGAATGTAAACTAAATGAACAATGTGAGGTTCCAAATTTGATCAAATTTATATTAGAATCTATCTTTATTCTTAATACTAATTACCAAAGAAAGCTCTCACCTATAACATTTAATGAGGAATGAAATTAAGAATTATAAGAATATAATTAAAGATGCATTATGTGAGAGGTAACTGCCTAATGCAAATCTTTCATTTGGCCTCAAATGTTATATAAATCAATAATCAAGACATTTATTCACATGCCAAGCTCATATTCAACTATCTAGACCATCGGATGGTTTTGATTTTCAACGGATTTAAAAACAATTGCATGTTAATAATTTAATTAAAAATTGGATAATCAATATTTTGTTTATTATTGTAACGGTGGCAATGGCAATTGAGACTACACTGTTCATCAAACAACCATAACTCTGCTCAGAATGAAGTAATTTGATTGAAATTTTCAACATATACACTTTTCATTATCTACTTTTTAAAAATTTTATAAAGAGAACTGTCAGCTCTGTATCTAAATCTTACATAATGCATGAATAACTATTCAATACTGAGAATCTAAGAAAATGATAATTCTTTAAGGTTTAATAATGATAAAGAGTTTTACTTTTATTTACAATAATTTTATTAATTCACAACTATCACAGCTAATAAAATAGATCTATATAAAATAGGAGATTTCCCATTATTTATAGGCATACAGTGTATGAACTAGCATAAAAGCATTTTGCCAGTACAACATTAGAAATATATACATTTTACTATAAGCACTTTATATCTAGTTTTTTCTTACTAATGACACAAGTTAATTATTGGAATATTCTATGATATATACCCGTTGTTCTAATTAGAGCTAGTTCTTAATTAATATTCCACACTTTCATCCTTCAATTACTTTTAATTATTATTAACTACCGCTTGATCACACAGGTGGAGCCCAGAATCAGAAGTTGTACATCTCCTAAACCAGAAGTGGCAGCACAACGCTGACAGGCCTATGTCACTCCCTGACTCAAATTTAAGCCTCAGGTCAGCCCTAATGTGGCTGCCAACCCCAAACAGACACACAAACAACAGTCACAAATACATATGTATAGATTACTAATTTCTTTACAGTTTTCATTGAAGACATTGAACATTTATGTTTCCGGTTTAAAATATCATGTGATTTTGATTATTTGGAAATTTTTCAGTTAAAAGAGTCAAAACTCATGTTTAATATAAGAACATAACATTTCAAATAAAAACAATTAAGTTTCAATGAAAACACTTTATGTTTAAAATAAAAAGAAATAACATTTCAAATTAAAACACTTTTAAAATGTTTAAAAAAAATTAAAAATTATATAAATTGCGTAGCAACAAACAGAAGCTTTATTGTACATTCGTTACCTACCGTACAAAGGCTTTTTCAATTTTAATTCTAAAACAATCAGTAAGAAATACAATGTAAGAAATGGATGTAACATGTCTATATAATAAGGTGATTATAATATATCCACATTGAAAATATAACAAAAACAATCTATGTATAGCGCTAATGCTAAGAATTCAATATATGACTTTAACTTATTAACTATATAATATTCAGAATTAACAATATTAGTACATGTATCATATACATAGAATTACCTACCTATAGAACAAAACAATAACAATACTTTTTAATAAAGTTAATATCATTTGGGTTAACATGAAAACCATTTCATGACGAAGAGTTTCTGGTCCTGGAATATTCTGAGCAATAATTTTAAACATTTTCTTAAAAGTCTATGATAGTCTGTTTTTAAAGTCTATGATTGTCATATGAGGGTTGTCTGCAAACTACGATATTGTAAAAGTTGGATTTGTAAAAGAAGTATCAGTTTAAAAAATGTTTTTTCTGTTCTGCATTTACAAAGATATGATGAATTGAAAATTTGTTGACATCTGGCATTTTCTGCAAAAGAAATGATCAAAGCTAGCCACCCTCACCTAAAATCTTCGCAACAATTTTTGATGGGACCCCTTTTAATCCAACTGAATCCAAGCTGAGAGCATTTGGCATTTTTGTTTCTTAATTAAAATCCCCAAATAAATAGATGACACATATTAATTAATCGAGCAATCAAACTGATTATCAACTATACACTAAGTTTCATCACTCTCTATCAGATAGAATCAAAGTTATCTTGTCCCAAAGCATCGACCAAAGAAATTGCTTATCTCTGCTTAGCTTTAGCTCGATATGTTAATCATTGAACTCAAATCAAGACGAAGATCTACATAAAGTTTAAATAGTCTACCTCAATTAGAAGCAGGGTTGTTATGTTCCAAGGTCTTGACCAATCAAAATGCTTATTGCTCCTTAGCCGAAGCAGACAATACTCATCATCGAACTTAGTCAAGGTATTGATGTAATGAATTATACACCAAGTTTCATCACTCTCACTTAATCAGAACTAAAGTTATCATGTCCCAAAGCATCAACCAATCAAATTGCTTATCTCTACTTAACATAAGCAGAAAATGCTCACCTTCGCAATCTATCGAGGCATTGACCTCATAAACACCTACACCATGTTTGAACATTTTAGCTCAATTAGAAGGAGAGTTATTGTGTTCCAAAGTCTCGGCCAATCAAATTGCTTATTGCTCTGCTTACCCTGAGCAGAAAATGCTCATTATCGAACTTAGTCAAGGTATTGATGTAATGAAACTATACTCCAAGTTTCATCACTCTCACTTAATTAGAACTAAAGTTATCGTGTCCCAAAGCATCAACCAATCAAATTGCTTATCTCTGCTTACCCTAAGCAGAAAATGCTCATCTTCGAACTCCATCAAGGCATTGACCTAATAAACACCTACACCAAGTTTGAACATTCTAGGTTAATTAGAAGGAGAGTTATTGTGTCCCAAAAAGTGTGACGGACAGACGGACGGACCGACCGACAGACAGACAGACAAACCCATTTTAATAGTCCCCTGCTTTCTTTGAAAAGCGGGGGACAATAATTTTATTTTGTGTAGAACAGGAACTATAGTTTTATTTAATGAAATAAGTAAGTACATGTTAATATTAATGAAATATCGTTACGGTGTGAAAAATAAAAAGTCAGCACTCATTCGACTAAACAAAAAACAACAAAATTAAGTAGACAAAAAAAACAAAGGAATATACATTGTATACCTGAGAAAAATTAAGTACGTGGAATAATATCTTATTTAGTCACCATGCAAAAATAATATACAATTCAATTTTTAACAACTTAGACATAAAATCATCATGTATTTAAACTTGGTCAATAAGATTATTTAGATTATCATAAGAAAAGTATTATTTGGTCAATTACTGACTTTGATGAAAAACCTTAATTTCATTTGAAGCCAATATATAAAGCACAATGAAAGTAAAATAATGGAACCGCAATGATCTAGTTTGTGCATATAAGATTTTTATCTCTTTAAATCATCTCTGCACTGTTTGAGCTAGCAGAAAAAATCTGGGTCTCGATGGAAGTAGTTCATCTCACCGTTTAACACACATTATCATGTACACAATTACAACATGGCCGCCTAATGGCTGTCTGGTCTGTCACCATCTATTATCTGTAAAAAGTATCTTTTCGTGTAATTTTTTATCTTTTAATTACAACGTCTAGAGTTCCAATTTCACTGAAAGGATTTCCTGCAGAAAATACCTTTGTAATGACAATCAATTCAACAAGCAACCGAACCACAAACAAAAAGAATAATTTATCAGCCATTGTTCAGACGTACCATTCCTTAACATCTTTTTTCTTGCCACCACGTTTATTGTTCTCATTAGCACCTAGCAACGCCCCATTACCCTGTTGTTTCTTGGATTCTAAATAGGAAAAATTTTGACTTTCATCCACTTTGTATGTCCCTTCTGAACGGGTTCGAAACTTATATAAAGCGAAGATAAGAATAAGCAGAGCTACCAGCACTCCTGCTGCAATACCAATTATGAGACCAATATTCAAAGTGGCACCAATTCCAGACCCAACTGATTCCTTGCTGGTTTCTCCTGTAGGTGTTAAACTATTTGGCATGCCATACACGGGAGTAACACCTCTATAATCAGTATAACCAGGATCAGGTGTTGGTCCAAATATATCACCATTTCCTTTAGTACGTGAATTACAGTCAGGTTCCACACATGTTATAGGTCTTTTACGTGGTCTGAAAAAAATATACAAAAATATACCAATGACTATGATCATGTACATGTGTGCAAGTTTTGGCTTCTGAAATTCAGTTCCTCAATATAGCTTATTTCAGCTGTAATTGGTTACAGGGACCATGCTTGAGACAGGGTAGACCAACATCTAGTTTTTCAGGAATTCACATAGCTTTCTTTATACTATTTATTTCATATATTTCTGTGCTTTATTTTCAACCAAAACAAAGCAGTGTCACCCCCCCTAATTATAAGCCTTTCATCATGAACAACTTATTCCTTGTAACCATTTCTATATCTTGTTTCAAAAAACTTACCAACCATACAGATAAATTAAACAGTTTACTATATAACTACATTGTACTTATGTATATGTATCTTCATGAGTTTTTTGTGAAACAGGACATAAGTACTAATTTTTGCCATTAAGGTTTCAGTCACAGAGCAAACTAGTCGAGTTAAAAACCTCTGTGGCAAAACTGTATATTCCATAATTTATGATCTTAAATTGTGATCAGTCAAGAATAAAAGTAATGGAGAATACCATTTATCAAAATAAAACATAAAAGGACTATGAGATACGAGAGAGGTATAAAAAAATTTGAGTATAAACTTGTGATCAAACAAAATATTGACATACCTTGGTGTTGTAGTGGGAGGGTGTGGTGTTGTTTTTATAATAACGGTAGGTGTGATGATGTCATCTTCTATACCTGAACCAACTGATGTACAATCATCTTCATCATCACTATGACAACCAGCCCCAGCACCGGAGAAAATAATATCATCGGTAACACCCAATTTAGGCGTTGTCTGCTGAAATAAAATCAAAAACTTGGTATCTATTTTTCATTCAAAGAGAATCAGAATAAATCTGGTTCTCTAAATTTCATAAAACAAATAAGGTTATAGAAAATTTTATAATTCAAATATTCATGATACACAGTGTTTAACTACCTTAAAATATTTCATAAACAATTCAATTACTTGGAATTATAAACCCTATATATATAGTAACAACAAATGAGCTAGGCCATCTTGAATCAAATTGTTACATTAAGCTTTGATACAGACGTAAAATCAATTATTCTACACCAATCAACTTTCATTATGACAAGATGCTTGAACTGCTAGCAGACTACACACAGCTAGACTTTTTATATAGCTCTTTCCAAAACCAACTATATTTACAATACCAAAATAATTTGATTATTCTCACTTTTACAACAAAATTACAGTTAAATCTAAATTCATGCATAAAAATAAATTCATCAAGAAAAAACCCCAACCCAAATATTAAAAGCAAGGGGTCATTTAACGCAGCTACTTGTACTGGAAGGCAATCTAATTAAAATTATAAAAAAATATTTGTTTGTTTTAATTTTTCGTTTATTTACTTCACTTTGTAGGAAGCATTCCATAATGTGCAGAATGTGATTGGTTAATTTTAGATTAACCTACCTATCAAAACCTATGATGCAGAAAATTCAATGAAATCTTTTAAAAGGCTTTGATTATCAAGATATTTCATTGGATAAAGGCAAAGGTAATATTTGATTTAAGGTCAAAAGGTTCAGAATTATTGTGCTTTTCTTAAATATGTTTTTAGATGTTAATGACATGATAATCTGAAAAAAACAAACCCAAAATGTAAACAAATATAACATCAAATTTTAATCATATTGTATTGTAGCAGGCAGCTGTTTCTAAGCCCACTAAGCAAAAGGAGCCCCTAAAACTTAAAGACTCCATTTTCTAATCTGCTTGCAATATATTAGTAAGACCCTTCAATGTGACCTTCGTATAAAAACGTTTTTTTTTATCCAAAATCTCAAGTAAAAAACATAAATATTTCTTCATTTTATTATCTTCATACGATTAATTTGCCAAGCTGTAGGTCTAAAATCAATTTACATTTATAATTTCAAGCCTTCAGATTCAGCTTATTGACTAACATTTAAGATCCAACAAAAATTATCTACTGAAATCTAAGGGCTTGAAAATTTAAAAGTGTGGAACATGAGAATCAAACATTCATTTAATTAATTACAGAACTGTCAGCTATTTTAGCATGGATAAGCATACTCTTCAATCACTGCACACAACACATAGCAAATAGTTCAGTAAGACAGATCTATGGTGACATGTATAATAATTCTTGAAATAATATAAGTTATCCTCTACCTATGAAATAAGATGATGTCTCATGACTATAGATTCATAAATGCTAATATTTTTATAACCATGGTACCACTACACAGACTCTAGATTCTAGAAATTATTATGATTTTAAAATCTTGAAATCCAGAGATAGTGATTTTTTTCACAAATAAACTTGCACAGAAAATGTTTCTTGACTTCCAGACCATGGTTAATGGTACATTAGGCCCACATTGAATTAGATCTGTAAAATGGGTTAATTCACGATCTGGTGACTGGATCTTTATATTTTTGTAACCCGGTACGGCCAAATACCATAATCGGATATATACTAAATATAACAATATTTCCTGAAATTGACAAAATTGAGACAGAGGAAAATAGTTAAAGGACAATATCAGTGAGCAGAAATTTGGCCATGTATCTGTTATCACTCGTCACTTCAGTCAGTTATATAGAGGGATAACTCGTGTTTTCCTTTTGCGTTCGTCACTTACGATTGTTGAAGCATTGATTACGCATCTATAGTAGCAAAGATCTCTGTGATAAAATAATATTTGGAACGTGTTTAACCAATATTGTCCTTTAAGAGTAATCCTGGCCTTTAATGTTAGGTCAAACCAATATATTTTTATTTCTTCAGGTCATTAAATAGCCACTCAATTCTTTGGATGCGATGTTTTGTTAAATTTTCAAAACGTAAATATTTGGAACCAAAAGCTTTTCGGAAGAACATCTAAAATACTGTTTGTTTTTAAATTATATTTTTTTCCTAAAGAAATTGGAGACAGAATTTCTAAAAGGTGTTCGCGAAGAACAAAAATACAAATTGGTGTGCCCTTATTAATAAATTGAACAGTAAAATAAACCAACTAGATACAGCATCTTATTATCAGGGTTAATATATTATATCAATGATAATTTTTGTCTAATATATATATATATATATAATATAAATATATAGGTTTATGTATAATATATTTATCAAGACAAGCATGCCCATCAATAGCAATCAATGCTTATATAATAGAAAAAGTTTTCTAAATTACTAAATTCAAGAGGGATGTTCCATTTACTCTTAATTCAAATTTCTGACAAATTGGAACAATCCTCTTTATTAAGTACTGAAAACATGCTGTATCTATTACATCGAGATAAAAAAAATAATCATTCCAATATTTGCTACTGTGGATTAAGGGAAATTTTAATTATATTTTACAATTATGTCATATAATTAAAGGGTAACATGCATTTGTAAAATTTGTAGTTGGCTTCTAAAAACACATGCAATTTGGATTGTTTAAAATAAGTAATAATTATTTGCTTTGTAACATCAAAGAATTGCAAAGATCGTGACTTGACGTAATTATTACACATTAATCAGAATAATGCGCGTTTAATCTATATCTATAAAAAAGATGAAAGAGCTAGAGGTCTCATAATAAGTGTTCACTCACATAGATATGCTCTGTATTGCACACACGTAATGTAATTTAATAATTCATCCATTTATACATTTATAAACAACTCAGTGAGCATGTTTGTACTGATGGTGAAAACTTATTATCGAATTATGATACAGCCACATTATTTTAGTCATGCACTTCTTAAATGACAAATTTGTAAACTGTTTGCAAGCATTTGTTTGATACAATAAAATGAGTGGGACTTACAAGTAATGTTTTAAAAACCCTTTAAATGGTAGAACAGTTAAATATATAATATATTTTAGCAGACATGCAAAGGCTTATTATTTTCAACATTTATAGGGTAAGGGAACGTCGCAAAATTATCCATGGATAGATCTCGACCCATTCACGCCAATGTAGTAAGAAAATTAAAACATATTTCTGTTCATGATTCAATAATAACCAACATTTAATTTATCATTTTCTATCTGCAGTGTCATTTAAAACATCCACCCAGTTCCACAGGTTATTAGTTTGGATATTAGTTTTAAAATTTTGCGACAGTCCCTAAATCGGATTATTCGATGTATTTTAAATCGGGTGAAATTAGAAAAATCAACCATATTTCAATGAAATGTTGAAAATAACATTATAAAAAATTCCCTTTTTCCACAGCAGCCTATAATAATATAACATGAAAAATACCAGGAGAAACGACTGTGATGAGCCTTCAAACACAGAATATATGGAGGTCGTAGGAAAGTTTTCCAAAAACCAGTCAACTGTTGAATCAGATTCTTGTCTCAGGGGGAAAAAGGTTGGTGCCAATATTTCTTCCCCTTCTTCTTCACTTTCATGAACTCCTATGTTGCTCTGACTTTCATAATCAGGAAATTCATCCTCAGTGTTCCATAGTTCTACAGAATTACTTTCAGTGTCCTCATCAGGTTTCAATAAGCCATAGTCATATTTACCCTCTGGTACCTGTTCATCATCTGTATCCTTTGTATCATCATCACCAGCATCACCCCCACTTCCTTCCACAACATCAGATGGTTCCATTGTCTCCTTGAAATATGTTCTACTACTGGCCACAGCATTCTTATTTATTTCTTCACCATGGGGAATGTTCAAATTTTCAATACGGTTTTCCAGTTCCCCAGCAAATTCATGTCTGTCCATTTTCCCTAATTTGGCCAAATCTTTTGGATCTTCATGAACAACATCATAAGCACAATGAGAATTGTATCCATATTTGGCTAAATGATTATGAATAATGGCTTTTGTACCAGGCTGAATTCTGTGCCTGGTATGCAAATACTCCTTCACATCTTTATCCTTAGAGATTTGTCGAGTACTTTTTGTCTTTACTAATTCTGTTTTTCTCATCCTGATGTTAGGTATTGACGTTGGTTTAAGAATTATTTGGTCACTGATAGCGTGAACTAAATTTAACTCAAGCCGATGTCTGCGTTTGTTTTCCAAGACGTGACGCCGTTTCTTAATCCTAGCTACCTTATTCAATAAGTGACGAAAGTGTTTTGGACTTAAATCCAGCACAGAGCTTATATTCCGTGAAATCCCATTATACTTCACGTCTGACTCTTTTATCTTCTAAAAACATACAAAAAATCATGAAGAGAATGTTATTGTGTTTCTGTGTAGATAAAAGTTAAATACATTCTATACACAATCTAATTAGTGAAGCTAAAGATAAAATGAATCCATACAAAAAATATGAACATTTTCCACTTATTTCAACCAGTGCAGTGAATAAAATCTGATAAAAAAAACAATCCTAATCACTGTTTACCCAGTTCGGAGAACACTGATCAAATCAAGGATCTCCACATAACTTTTAAACTAACTGTCTTTAATAAACAAAACTCCAGCTCATAAAATAGAGTTTTTAAAGAGGCAAGGATACCGTTATACTAAGAAATTTAAAGATAGGTTGCCAGGCAACGAAACATACGCCCACAGCAGCTAAATCGTCCGGGCAGTCAACAAGTGTTTTCGCATATTTTTACTTTTTTTGGTAATGAAACATTTATAATACACTAAAATCTGATTAAGAGTAACAACTCATGAAGTAATTATCAATCAGAAGTCAATCGGATGATAACTTTAGCCTCTAGAGCGTCACAAGATTTTTCAAAGTGATCAAGGGCCATAACTTTGGCAGTAATTATCAGAAATCGCTGAAAATCAATAGAATTCTTTGCCTCATGACCTTAAACACTGTGTATAAATCCAAAGTCAATCGGATATTAACTTTGACCTCTAGAGCATCCACAAGATTCTTTGAAGTGATCAAGGGCCATAACTCTGGCAGTAATTATCGGAAATCGTTGAAAATCAATAGGCTTCTTCGTCTCATGATCTTAAACACTGTGTATAAATTTAAAGTCAATCGGATATTAACTTTGACTTCTAGAGCGTCCACAAGATTTTAGATTTTTTTAAGTGATCAAGGGCTGTAACTCTGGCAGTAATTATCGGAAATCGCTGAAAATCAATAGGCTTCTTCGTCTCATCACCTTAAACACTGTGTATAAATTTAAAGTCAATCGGACGGGGTTGACAATATACGACCACATTTCAATGTGGGCGTATAAAAAGTTACATCTGTATATCATGTCATAGTAAAAATCAACATAACTCACTTTCAAAATTCCAAACAATCCTTCTTTGAACAACACAAAATACATTAGGACTGTGCAGATTCTATACAAGTTGTCTTTTTTCTTTTAAACAATTTAAATGTCAGAAATAGACTGATTCACTGAATTCAGAATAGGCACAGAATATACAATGAATTCACTAATTTCGATTCAACAGTGTAGCCATATCCTTAAAAAATACCCAAATTCGTAAAGTTGCCAAAGTAAACAAGCCTCTTTAAGTGGAATAAGTAATCAATAGTTTATAGAGGAATAAAACAAGTCAAAATTTAATTAAGACAAGAAAGTATATTGATTAGATGTGATTCTAATGAGTGTGTGGCCGTGGAACTATCAGACTCCCTCTGAATAATTCATACTAACATATTCATTAGTGCAACAAGTTTTTTTGGTGTTTCATAAAGAGAGAAAGTAAATGATAAGTTTATTTAATCAATAACAAGAACTGGTGTTATGTAACTATATTATTATCATTATCACAAGTAACAATGACAACCATGATGTGATTCTTTCATCATCATCATCAATATCAAAGCTAACAATATACCAATGATTGTCATCATCAAGCAGGGGTCTGATACCAGAATAATCATTTCACAAACCTAAACAATGTACCAGTATATTAATTTCAAAAGGAAGTAATAATTTCAGCCTCTAAATGTAAACATGATTCTGCGAAGTCAACAGGGGCTACTTCATTTCACCAATGTAAACAATGCACAAAAATCTTAACATGATCTGATGATCACACCAGTGTCTGGAGCTTCAATGAGGAATGATGGCAATTTCAAGGTGGTTTTCAAAAAATTCATGACCGTGAAACAATATTGATTGGATAAACTTTTGTCTTCTGGATGTTATATTAATGTATATTTGCGGGGCGGGAGTGGGGGCATCTTTTGGGAGTTTTGTTACCCGAGAATCGAGAATTCTATTTATGAAATAAAAAAAAAAATGTAAAAATTCAGTATAACAAATCTAATCAACAATGTCTTCATCTACATTATTCAAAATCGTGTCATGTCCTTTTTTTGTATATTTCAATTTAACGTGGATTATGAATAATAACCAAATACTGGTTGCACTAACACAACACGATATTCATGACATTGATGAATTTTGCTATTTCTAATCATGGACCAATTTTCTATTTCCTATTTGTATAAACTAGATATTATAATATGATATTACTAATAACTTCAACCAGTAGGTCATTGATCATTTTTGACGCTTCAGATACATCATTTTATATTGGATTTTCACTAGATAGCATCATCTAGCCATGAAGTGTTCCACTGGTCTTCAGAGTTTATTGAGCAGAGTGGTTATTGATGGAACAATCTCTCTATCTAAATACACTATAACAATTAGACAGACAAACTCTAGCACTATAGAATTAGCAGGAATAATCCAATCAAACACTAACATGATTCCGTGCTGGTTATTGATTGCAAAGGAACATATAGTTTGTTTGTCAATAAATATAGGAAGTAAAAAAACAGTTTCATATCACTTTGTACATAAGTTCCAATCAATTACTCCTTTTGTTACTATACTGGCTTTTAACAAATATGGAAAGGAGATCTACAGTTCTATACATCAATTTTGAAAATCAGAATGGTTCAGAAGGTGATATATGTATCATACAATCATTTCAAGTCCTGAGCCACATTCTAAACATTACTGTATTTCTGGTTTAGGGAGATATTATCTCTTTTTAAAATTTGAACACTTAATCTTAAAGGGGGAGCGGGGGAGTACCAGCAGTAACATATCTTGGATTCTATTACTGTACAAACAACAAAAACAACAATTTCTGATGAGGGATTTCACAGAAATATATTTTCTTCCCTTTTGCTTTGTTTGCAAACACTAGTACAACATGACTTCAGGGCATGTTTTGATAACTTTGCATGTGATTCTGGTCTCTTTTATCTACATTTGTGTTAGAGTGTTGATATTTGTTATCTTGAAATTCAGGGTACTGTATATATTTTATTCATATGGTATAGCATTGGACTGGATTCCAAATTTGAATAGAAAGAAAATATGGATTTGTTTCTATCTAATGCGGATAACATGCTGGGAATAATAATTATAGTCGAACCTGGCAAACTGTCAGACACTAATGAACTACAGTATAGTACCCGACATTTGAACTTTATAGAAAACATGTATTAAAAATATCATTAAAAATACTGATAAAAGCAAATCGTTGCTAGAAAAAATGACAGATGGCTGTGGATTTGAGCCTCACAAAGCCTTAATTTGTGCCGACATTTTTTGTAATGGTGGCTTATTTTCAGACTTGCTGACACAAGATTGTCAACTCTTTCACGCACATGCTGAAAATACGGAACAGGGATTGGTCAGTCATTGAGGATCTTCATCAAGTTACTGGTAAGTGAATAACGCTGAAATTTTGTTGGTGATCGTCAGTAGAATCACCATTAACTATTTTTTGAATTGCCAATAACCGAAACAAGGTGGTTCTCAATATTCATCTTGATCTGAACTTAGTCCCAAATACCTTTTTGTCTAAAGCAAAGGTATTATTACTCCTTTCTTATAAAAACCTGAGAAATATTCAAGTATTATACATACCCTTAATCCCATAGTCGACTGCATCTCGGTAACGTCTTTATTGGGCAAGATTTCTTTGGTTATCTTTTTTCTGGAAAATAAAATAAAAATTATATAAATACATTGAAAGATATGCAATATTTGTGCCATGTTATCCTCTCACCTCAGATGGTTTATACATGCTTTTAGATCAAATAATCCATACAGACTTATTCAAACAGCAGACCAATGTTTGGTCCACCAATGCCAATTGGTTAGAGTTAAAAACCCTTGTGTCAGAGGCCTTGTATATTCAGTCATATACTATGGCTCTGTTACTGTATATCATGAAAAAAATAAAGATGCATGACATTTATAATCATTTTCCACTATTTTTTATCTATTAAACATAATTCAATATAATTAATTCAACCTAAAATAAATCCATTAAATGCCTTGCATTAAGTTAAAACTAGTTATAGTTCCAGACAAATAAATCACAATTGATATCACCACCAAAATTCATAACACATAGAAACAAAATAAATATAGTGGTCCAAATTAGAATCTTTTATAGTCAAAGGCAAATACAGAGCCCAAATTAGAATTATTTATAGTCAAAGGCAAAAATAAAATTCTTGAGAATCCCCCCCCCCCACACACAAACTTTCATCAACAGGTTTCCTGCAATTCTATTTAATTACCTCTTCAAGAACAACGATTGTGATTAAAACACATTAAGCAGATCTAGACAATTCATAGATTATTTAAACTGTGCAGATCTCACAAAGTTAAATAAAGAAAACTTCTGAATTCAATTAAATCTATCTTTTGTAACAGCAACTCCTAAGAACATTTAGAGCATTGGTTTCAAATACTGAAGGAGAAAAAATTAGAAGTTTAAGCATCACAACCTTTAAAGATATAATGGTGATGCATGGAATGTACATGTTGTGAATAAGAAAAGCAACAATCCTACAGGAAAAACTTAGTGTTATTATTGATTTTTCTCCGTCATGTGACAATTACATATTTATCCTTTCACTGGGATGTGTCTTTTTACACCTTCAAAGCATCAACCAAGCATTTTGATAAACACTATTAAACTTTATGAGATGAATTATAAATCTTAAATTTATAACAAAGATGTAGAATTTGACAACATGATCAATCCCATTTGGTTTTTTTTCCATTCCATGGTCTACACACATCCATTTCCATTTGACTTGCAAATTTTTACCACATTATTGAAAAGATATTCATTGTGATCTGTCTTATATATGCCACTGTGTTTTAACAATCTAATAAACAACCATCAACGTTTACAGCGCTTCACACAGGAACCAAAAAAATATAAATGTCACGACCTTTTGAAATTTAGTGACTCGGAAACTTGTTGTTTTCAAAGCCAATATGTGTATGAAATCTAATCTGAAATTAATTTATCAGGTTTACACATCGTGGTAACCTTTAATGATCTCTACTGCATGCTAGTGGATTAAAACAGAAATTACTTCCTCAAACGAAAATACATGGGGCCCACACAATAAAGTGATCTCTATTAGATCGAAGGACGGAAGCTGTGTGGGTTGCTGTGACTATCTGATCAATATAAACATACAGTGGCAGATATAGTTAAGTAACGAGTAGATCTATCAACAGATAAACTTTTATAATAATCTATATTACTGTTAAATTATTTATGTTTAATATCTATATTGATTAGTTATACTGTACATACATCTCATCTTAAAGATAAAAAACATTGAGCTAAAAATATCCAGGCATATTGTATAAGCTGCATTGTAAACTTGTATGCATTCCCTCGATTCTTAACTTTTCTGTAACAGTTAACACATATTGATACAGAAAATATTCTAATATGAATTTCAGTCAGTTTCTTACTAAATGATTTGGGGGAAAAAAGAATGTGGGGGGTGGGTGCTTGTAAATTACTCAATTTATTCATTTACTCATATCACCACTGTAACACATCCCACCATCACCCCAAAAAAAGTTTAAAGGGACAATAACACTCTTGCTGGCTTGACAGCTCCAGTAAATAAATATTAGCCTTATTATTAGATGTTTAAGTGTAAATTATCCATTACATCCTATTTTACTTGTCCAGAGGGTTCAAAAATATTTTTAAATCCAAGTCACATTTGAAAAGGTTTACGTTAGGCTTTTCAAATCATTTAGTTGAATTTTTCCAATTTTTTAAATTAGGTTTGTTAAGATGAAATTTGTATCATCAATTAATTGGAATACTGTAAAATAGTACAATTTGTTGACCAGAATAAAGATAGGGACATATTATTCAGTTACAACAAGAGTGGAGAGAGAGAGAGAGAAATGGGGTTTAACGTCCACTCGACACAAACTAGGTCATTTCGGGACTAAAGTATGGTTTAATTTTATTTACATAATTCGCTTGCGCGTAGGGGTCGTTAGCAGTGGGAGGAAACCGGAGGACCCGAAGAAAACCCACGAGGTTGGACAGGCGACCCTACTCCTTGCCACGTACAACCGGGGATTTGAAACCACGCCAGTCGACTCAATGACAGACTTTATGATACAGCGCGCGCACGCTAACCATCCAGCCATCCAACCCCCCCAACAAGAGTGGTATTGAGCCTTTAAAGGAAATACATGTATCTAAGGTGAAAACTCATATCACTGTAAGGAATATCCTTAAACAGCTAAAACCTCTTTGATTTCTGTCAAAATTAAATGATGAATTTGGCTTATCTGATGAGTTATTTCCATTAGTGATGGGCCAAATTCTATTTAAAAAATAAGTAAATTTAAAGTGAATTTTTTACTAATCTGAATTTCATTTTAGCTTAAAATTTTGACACTTGCTTCTTTCTCAACAAAAAGGGCAATCATTGTAGTGGTGGATATAGGGACAGAGCCTCAGTACCGTGGGGGGGGGGGGGGGAGTGGCACAATGATTATTTTAGAATAAATGCAAATAACGCAATGAGCTTTAAATTCTCTGTGTGCTCATGGAAGGAGAATGATTTTGAATATTAATTATTGATACGTTCAACGGTTACAGAGTACAAGTACACTCACTAACATTGATAAAAGTCAACATGACAGTTCTAAAAGAAAAATTGATCTTCTTTCCTGACAAGGGAAATCATTGACACCATTTTGTGTGGGTTTTGTCTGAAGTGGATCTAGAATTTCATCTTTAGTTGAGGATTATTATATAGAGCTTCTGCTCTGATTTGATTTCATCATCATGCATATTACATGAAATGTGACGAAAACTTTTATTAGATGTTGGGAATTATAGCTCTCACTGCGTAAATTGAATTTTCTATACTCAAATTCTTTCTTGAAGATTACAAAATTTGGATTGGATATATAAAAAAAAATGTTAGTTTTATAACAGCAATGAATATTTTCTTTTCAATATTTCTTTTATCACCTTGATCAGTTATAAGGTCATAATATCAAAAAATAGACTTTACTACACGAAAATATTTTGTGTAAAAAAACAATATTTTGATAGTGTAATACTCCAATTACCCATAACATGTAGGAAAGCAAAGAAGAATAGTTGTTTTTCACATCCATATCCATAGAGCAAGCAAGATTCAATTCTACAGTTTTATGTTCAATTATTGAAAGAATCTGACCATGGCAAGGGAACAAGTTGCACTTATTAAAACGTCTTTAAAGGCTTAAGATAGACTTTGCTAGGTGGTAAACACAAACACCCGAGGGATGTGATAATAATCTGATGAAAATACTCTCACGATGAGAAATGATGATTATGATTTGTCAATCACAGTAATACACTAGAGATGTAACTTCAACCAAACATGCTCGCTTGTCAACAAATCATAAACCTCTTCAGATATTTTCAATTCATTATATCTTTGTAAATACTGAAGGGAACGAAACCATTTCGGACCAATATTTCTTTTAGAGATTCAACTTCAACACCAATGTTGTTTCCAGGGAATTCATAAACCATAAAATGACAATAAGTGAATTTAAATATGTAAATTAGGTGAAAGATCAAAAAATTTCAAAAGACACATTCATTGTACAACAAACAAATGAATGGGGTTGAGAAAACATCTGATAAACTAGCAAAGGGATAGACCAGCTGACCAATGTATGTGCCTTTGTAAATAGGATATCAAAATTCAAAGAACCTTTATATTTTTGGTCATTCAGTTAAAATCATAAAACCTTACCTTTATAATCAGAACTAAATCCAGTAAAACAGACTTTCAATAGCAGCTCAATAATAAACTACTAAAACTAAAGAATGAACTCTTTGAACAAATATGGTCTACTGCTCCCAAATTTAAACTATTTTATATAATATTTCTACACACACTGCTCTTCTTCAATTCTAATATGTCTGCTATTGATTTTAGCCTTCAAGTTATTTCCTAATATAGGCGTACCACTCAGACATAATCCAAAACTTTCCAAATGTGTCATTTTAGCACGTAGATATGGTACTTCATTTAATGGATAATATCACAGATTTAGATTCTGGTTGATTTTAGAATATAGCGTCTGCTTGTTTGTCCCCAGGGCATGCTTTAAATGTCATTAAATTTTCAAATCTAGCAAACGCTCTGTAAAAGATATTGGGTATTTACAGAAAATAGATTGCCAGTTGACTAAGCCTTTGAACAGTGCAGTAATGTTACCTGGGCGGTAATGAAAAATTATCAGAGTTTCATCATTCTTTTTAAAGGAATCATATACTGGTTGCCAAATTTGAATCATGACAAAATATAACCATAGAGTTCCGCATTTTATCCATAGACATTATTCATCAAAAGAAATTTCACATACAATGTGATTTTTGGTACAGCATCTGTTATGCTTGTCATGCACTTAGCATTACTGTCCAATCATTAGCTTATGATGGTAAAGTTCCAGGAAGAAATACAGCACACAATTTCTCAAAAACATATATTATCATCCCAAAGTAATATCAAGAACACACAAGATGAGTTAGACAATGTATTTGAGCCAGATTTGTATGGGAACATGACAGAAGTTAACACAATTATTGTGCCGTGTTACTCTGGGGTTTTTCCTCAGAAAACAAAAGTGTTTCCATATTCGACATATAAATAAATTCGAACCAGCAACTGCTATGCATAAAATGGATGTGAGTACTAACTTCCAATATTTTACACTAGCTAAAAAAATCCTTATAATTTTTGGGAAAAAATGTCCAAAACATTTAATGCCTTCAGTCTGTGTGAAAAGATAGTCTGTGAAAATTCTTTTCACAACTCCAAATTCTGATCAAGTTACTTCTTGTAACAAATCTAATATTAACAGCAGTCAATAAAGGACAATGTTCGTCTCTAATAACAAAACATATACAATAAAAGAGGTTCAACACATTCCAAGTAAGGTTTTATTGAGAGATCTTTGCTATGGTTGAAGAATTTGGAAGTAATGGAATAAATGAAAGCAGTTATTGCTGCAGACTGAAGTCGAGAGCGCTAACAGCTACACAGATTTTCAGCTCACTGATAAAGATTTGTTATATCAGACTATGAAAGGATATCAGTTCTAGTCCAACTATTCATAAAAGAATTAACTTTCACGATCTGAAAAAGCGAGAAAAATCAAAAGTCTGTGTATTCCCAGTTTTATTGTGTAAAGCTAGAAACAAATAGAAGAAACTTTCATAATAAGATTAACTGTCTGAAAGTCGCTTTTTCAATTGAAGGTATATACTGGAAAAGAATTTTAAAACTTACCTTGCACTTATAGCCCCACTATGTTCTAAATAAACACTTTTTTCTTTAGTTATTCGTGAATCATCGGCTTCTGCTAAATCCAGTATACGAATACCATTCATAACAAGTCCTGGAAAATAAGAAAACAAACATTAACATAGTCCAATCACAATACATGTAGCAAATTTTTCTAATTATATAAGAGACATTCAATAGAAAATTATACAATATGCACAAAACCTTCGTAACTTAAATTCAGATTTTATTTAAAAGTTTCATTTTCAATGTACTTTTACATTTAAACAATGGCTGGTGACTATACTAGTTAACATGGCCCCAGAAACTACCATTTATCCTGAATTATCAACCTGATATCAAATTCCAAAATATCACACAATATATAATAGTTATATCTCAGGATGTCTTGAACCCCTACATCTCATTATATTTGAGTAGTTCACATACTTGTATTTAGTAGAGAAACATTGTATATGTTTGTATCGAATGGCTGGTAGAAAGATTCTACATAAGACAGTATGTTTTTTTAGGATTCTAATTAAAACCTTACAGCTTGACCACTGGTATGTGGATGACTGTCTAAGCACACCCAATAATCTGTATAACTCATGCCCACACAAATATACATGTACCATCGGTATGACGATGTATGTTTAGCATACGCCTGAGCGTATTCGCATCCATTGATCTATTACCAATATCCCACATAGATTTATACCAGAGGCGAAACCATATCACAGAAAACATCACTTGTGGGGATTTATATTGATGATGTTGACTTACCAGATATAGTTCCTTCAAAAGGTCGAGCAATCACACCATCTTCTGTTTTCTTGCCTCCGACATAGACAAACGCTTGATTGTTAAACACTCCAAGTTGTTGGCCTGAAATTATACAATAATCAATACACAACACTGTCCGCCTGCTGGTACCGTCTGATCAATGAGTTACTAGATGATGGAAGAAAACATGCTACAAGCCATTAAAACGTGGTGTTTACACAGCACATCTACTAGCCATTATAGACTATATTTCTATCTATCTTCTAAGACCTATAAAACCCTCCTCAATATGTTTACAGATTGCCAACCATTACGAATTTAATTTTCAGTAATACTAAATACATCATATGGTTAAGTCAGCCGATTTGTGAAATGGTGTACACGTATTTGGTGCAGAAAGGGTCTGATTTGTCATAATATAGCTGACTGTGTACTGGGCATAAGTCCGTTATTGACTACCACAAATATTAAGTAAACCCATGCATGAGAATAAAGAATTAAAAGCAAAGATAACTGTGTCCAAATGTGAATCAATAAATTAAAACTAAATCGTGGCCCAAGATTCGTTTTGTTAAATTCTCAAAGTACATCTAATTAAATTTCCAATTCACGTTCCTCTTACAATTATTCAAAAAAACGTTTTTTTTTACATAATTAATATTCCAAACAAGAGGTGAAAGTTCAAATAAGGTGCAGCATCAATCTGTTGTCATGGTGACACATTACCTGGATCTTCTACTTCATCCAACAGCCAGGAGAAAACTATGCAAGCAGAATAAAGTTTGAGAAAAACATACATTTGTCAAAAACATTGGATTTTTTAACTCACTGGAGAAAATCTGATCTATTCAAGCTTGATTATTCAGAATGTTCTGAGCATGATCTGCAAATGAACAGCTAATCGTCATTTATATCATTAATATTCAACAGCGATTATCTGATGATCTGTATAGGATATTTTATTTATCCATATATAGATCGTGGGGTATGTAGAATATCGTTGTACATATCGAATAATAATAACTATTTATTACTGTTCAAAAATTTCACGTGCGTGTCACTGCTAAATCATTTTTCAAACTGTTTGCAAAACAAACTGCTAAACTGAGTTAACGACTTGCCATTATTGTGTGAATACTATTTTTTTAATTTGATAATTAAATTCATTCTTTTCCCTGTAGCAACTAGCGTAACAGTGTCAATAGCAATTTTGATGATTGATGTTAAATGTACAATAACCAATGATTTTAGATGTTATTGATTTCTTTTGTAAATAAATAAATCAGACGCTTCATTAAATCAGGCATTATTGTGAGTGCCTTATGTCAAATACGATTTTAATGAAAAAAGGGTCACGTTAAGATTTCATCATTTATAAATGGCAGATTTAAAACCTGCAATTCATGTCACATGATCTGCAGTATTAATTTGTGTGAGTCATAGAAATAAAGACATTTACCATGTCAGCATTGACAAGTACTTAAAAAAACTTTCATACTGTCATCTTAAACGTAAGCCCACATTAAAGCTTAATAGAACATTTCATGGACATGTACATTGTGCATGTTGTTTCTGATTAAATTCTTGAGTTTTAAAGAGACTCAGGTGCAAGAGAGCACTTTTTATGGAGTTTCTGAATTTTACTTTTCACAGAGAAATTTTACTATTGTTTTACTTTTGAAAGCTTCTGTGTATCATTTGCATCTTCTGAAAATATCAAATTGATCATTTAAAGGGGTATTATGGAGATTAGATAAAGAGTTGACAGTTCTCGCTATAATATTTTTAAAAAAATAACGTAAATAGAATATTATGCTGAAAATTTCATCATTACTAAAGTCGGTACAATAAAAAAACAAAGTTTTAATTATCCATTTTTACGTTTAATTATTTTTCAAAAAATGTATTCCAGTCCACTAAATATCGCAGGCTAGCGATGCCATCGAGAGTTGATTATGGTCTGAATAAGTTAATTAATGTCTAATAAATAATTTAGATAACATTTCCGGACCTAAAGAAAGACCTGCAATAGGCAGATTTAGCTCTTGCATAATGTATGTTTAACATTTAATTACATATTCAGAAACATTTTAATCATATATTGGGTATTATTGGTTTACTTCCGTTATGGCCATATCCAGTTATTATCATCTGCAGAGGATGACAAATGTTGCAAAATTTTCAATTTATCGTGACTTTAAGTACAGCAGTAAATTGGGTTTCATAGACCGATGATAAGATTTAGTGCAGGTTCTAAAAACAATATCTTTATAAATTTCATAATGATTGGAATTGAACCATACTTCTTTAAGAGATCAAACTTTCACAATATTGTAGTTAGCAAGGGATTAAACATCCCTCAAAGAACGAAAAGAGACTTTAAGTGGATTATTTCAAAAGAGACCTTTTTGGCTTGAAATGTTTTGCAAAAGCTGATAAAATGGTGGAATGCCAATCTACAATAAGAGGAACCAGTTCAATGATTAAGTTCATATCAATATTTATTGAGGAAAGTCTTTGGGGAGTCTTTAATTTTCTTTGTGCTCAAAAACCAAAATAGGGTTGAAAGATCTGAATGTTTGGAAATTCAACCACATAAAGTCATTTTTATTTGTTTGTGAGTATCGATAAAATGTGAGTAGTAATGCGCTACGGTAGCTACTGCAAATAGTTAACAACCTGACATTGTGAGCCACCATATTGATTTTTTTTTCTGGAACTATAAATGGCGTCTGCCAAATGGCTATAATCCTCATAATTACTTTGCTTTTATAGATAGTGGTCAGCTGATCAGATTTTCTTCAATGATTACAAACAAATCTAGTGAATAAATTCTTCAGTAACAACAAGTGGTTTCCTCATAAGCCTTAACTTCACTTATTACAGATACCATACTTAGCTATATAAACATCAATAAGAATACATCTTGGATAAAATACAACCAAACTCTACAAAAATTCTATGTTTGAACTATATTCAAAACAGACATAAAATTAATAGAACAGTTTGTCTCTATATAGATAACATTCTAAGAAGTTTCAGCATTGGCTGTGATTTTTCCTTTCAATGGACATTCACAGTTGACTGGAATATCCTTTTGAAGTATTTAATACAAATGCAGCAAATAAATTTGTACTAATTTAGTTAAATATGGTATCTGTTTTTACACTTCATCCAATATCTCCAATTTTCTCATATTCAGTATTCAATGTTTTGAGTGAGATTTCCTTCATTTTTGTATAATTCAAATAAAGTCATTTGACTTGGGGATTTTCTCACAATAAATGTAATTTTTTCTTTAGCAACAATCTGATTGCAGTTGCAAAAACAAGACCAAAGGCTCAAGGGAAATCTTGCCTCTACAGTGTAGCGAAATGTTACCGTCGAAGTGTGGAGATATTGGACAAGCTACGATGGATATCAATGGGTCATATTTATTATTACAGTCATTTTTGAATTGAAGCATCTCAAAACCAAACCTGTGTACATTGAAACCTGGATCAACTGAAATCATGTTTAAAGGAGAAGACCCATATTTCACAGGGTATCTCCATTATGAAAAGTGAGTTTAAGTATGCAAATGTAAAGATATAGCCCATTTACCTAGTCATAATGTCTTAAATCAAAATACTGAGCCGATTGCTAGATTTTGTGTATTTCAGTTGTATGGGTGGATTTGATAATCTTGATGAGTAGTCACCTCTATAAATTCGTCTAGTATATAGACACAGTTATCTAAGCACTTATATCGCATGAATTTTGAAAGTTTTGGATAGTTGCACATGACTAGAATAAGGTCTTTCACACAGAATTAAAGTAACGATGCGCCAATGACATTTGACGCTAAAATATTAAATTTTTCACGGGATGATCCATGTTAATATGTAAGCAGATTGATTTTTTAAAATTTAATTAAAGAAACAATATCAAAATATCAATGCTAGATAATGTCCCGGCTTGGGTCGATTGGATTTAAAACAGGCCTATCATTAAATTTTTGTGGACAATAAAATGGCGGGTAGGCTTATTACACACCAAGCAGCATAGATCGATGAAATTTCAATTCCACATATCTTTGTAAATACTGAAAGGAATTTAACTGTTATTGGTCTAATATTCCTATTAGAGATTTGTTGTTTACAATATTGTAGTTTGCAAGTGATCACTAATGCTTAAAATGGTGCATCAGGAATTTAACTATTTTTTTTTCAATATGGGACTTCTCCTTTAGATATGTGATGTGTGTTTCCTCAGTTTCCAAAGTATACAGGACACCAAATCACAAAATGAAAAATGTAACTGAAATATAGTTCATGTACACAAATTGGAATACAAAAATTGTGCGGTATGTAATCAACAAAAAATTGCACTATACATAATCTACAAAATACACACTATACATCAAGAGACTTTACCACATGTTTTTTTTGTTATAAGTCTCTTGGTGATAATGATGATATTGTTTCAGTTAGCTAACACAATTATAACTCTCTCGAGAAATATCCTCTCATAGTTTACTTGCTCACTATATTAAAAAAACATTTCAATAGAAATATCTCCATCTAAAGACAAATTATGTACAAAAACATTATTTCATAGCTTAAATAAATATGAAAAATCATCTAATTAAGTGTCATAAAGTCTGTCATTGAGTCAACTGGCATGGTTTCGATCTCCCGGTTGTACGTGACAAGGAGTAGGGTCGCCTGTCCAACCTCGTGGGTTTTCTCCAGGTCCTCCCACTGCTAAAGACCCCTATGCGCTAGCGAATTATTGAAATAAAAATTGAACCGTGTGTTAGTCCCGAAATGACCTAGTTTGTGTCGAGTGGACGTTAAACCCCATTTCTCTCTCTTTCTAATTAATATTCAATAATAAATGTAATTATTAATTATCAAATAGGTGTTTGTATATGTAATTCACATCATGAACTTTTGGTATCTTCTATCTTTGAAATCACAAAAAGCTATTTATTTCAGCATGTACTCTTTCTAAATGTGATAGGTAGATCATTATTCATTATACTGGTTTAGTCATCCTAATAAATATTTCCTTAAATGAAATGTTTCCTAACAGTATCCAATAGTAGTTGTCCAGAATGATTAGGGGATTTACACCAGACCAATTAGATTTATTAGACCATAATAAGAGTATGACTAGAGTCGTTTGTGTCATCGTAGAACAGACAGGTTTAATTAGGTTGACCTTAAACCTGATAAAGTAATCCTTTATGCCCAGTAGAAACTATTAATTATTTTCTCATCTCCCACCATTTTATCTTAATATTTGCATTATCCCTTGAAATCATTGTTACTTGACACAAAAACCCTATGGGCTTTTACAGTAAATTTTTAAACAGGGTTTTAAAGATCATCTATTTACATCTTGTCCTTCAGTCCACTACTACTCTTTACCTATTAAACCTTGGTAAGGATGGAACTACAACTGCACACTGTGTGATAATCTTCTACAGTAAATCCAATCTTGTTTTGCAACAATTTCAATACAGCATTTAAAGCCCCATCCTTGCCAAAGTACGTAGGTAGTACCATAATTAAAAGGATTTCTTCCTTTGGTTGGTTCATTTGATAAGGATATTTCAATGCCTTTACCCAATCGCTAGTATTTTAGGACTTCAAATTTTGTCTAATGGTTTGGATTGTTCGTACTTGTTTTTTTTTTATTTATACTAAATTTGACATATTTTTAAAAACTAGTAGTCATCGCTAGAGAACTTTACATTATTAAAACAATTGTCATCTAGTAATTTTTTGCATTTTTCTTTAAAAATCAGACAAAAATCCACCATTTTCTTTGTGATCTCCCCAAATTTTAAAACCCTTTATTTTATGAATTGCTTAGTGCACGATTTGCTTATTTCTTTATCCCATCCTGATCTAAACTATTGTTTTATTTGAAATTGAGAGAAGTCAAAGTACATGTTGAATACAGACATTAAATCCTTAATATGAATCTAATTCATTCTGTATATTGATTTTCTATGATTGTTCATTTTCAGTGGCATGCAGAGGGTTTTGGTGATTCCTGGGGCCAACTCCTTGATTGTATGCCCCCTGAGACTCAAGTATAGGGCCAAGTACTGAGAGAAAGAAATTTTTTTAAATCAGATGAAATAATTTTTTTAATTCAAATTAAGTAGGGCAGCTTGGACAATGAAGTAAACAGCAATAATTTCAAATTTAAAAAAAACAACTTTTTATCTAATTTCAGTCTCCTGTAATGGATGCCTACTGCCGTCGCCCCCTCCCCCTGCATGCCACTGATCATTTTAGAAAAGCATCAAAACATTATAAAATATTTATGTACAGGGTATATAATAATCAAATAACTTTGAGTCTGCAGTTTTGCTTATAATATATAACTAATGTCCATCATAAGCATAGAATATAAGCAATGTCTTTACATAGTATGTAATACATACACCATTGCTAATTATAAAACAGCACTAAAATCAATATACCGTACACGAGGATATATCAAAAGACACACAAAGTAAGCATTTCATTTTAAATATATATATAGCCAATATCCATTTTTTCTACAAACACGAGAGGTTTTCGTGTTACAGTGACAGTTTTTTAATAGCTAAATCAACAGCAGACTCGAAAATTATTGATTTTCCAAAAACTTCTGACAATAAAATATATATAAATCGCTCATAAATCCCTTGTCAGCATTATCCAGGTAGCAAAATATTCAAATAAATATTAGATAAATAAGTCAGAAATATTACAAAATATTACATAACAAAATACTTATATGCTTGGGTTACAAAATGATGGAATATTTTATTAAGATCAATATCATAATATGGGCGATTTCTAAAAGAAAAATGTAAACAACAACATCTAAAGCAATGTCTTTATTTAATTATTTACTGCATACACTTTACTTACATGCAATATTTAGACATACACATACACTCTACTTGAAGAATGCATGAATTATTTAGAGATCAAATTGGAAAAAGGGTATCATTGCAAATTACTTAAATGGATAAATAAGCACTTGCTTCTCATTTTGATATGGGGTACAGGAATCTAAGTGATGCTCTTTATAAAATGAATATAACCTTTTTTTACTAAAAATTGCATTCATTTTATGTAACTCCAATCAAGTATTAAGAAATTTTCAATATGGGTTATCTTACCTCTGGGATTTTTGGTTTGCATTATGAGATCATCAACTTGTATTGTTGCATTTGGTCCACTACGTGTAAATCGTACCACATGGTATTTACCATCATTTACAGGTTTAAATAATTCTCCTATAGGGTGATCTGCCGTTCCCATATTATACACAACAAATATATTCCCATTTACCTGGTAAAATATGAGAAAAGGTATATATGTAAATATCTTGTATTGGTTTCATTGAAGCCATAAAAAAAAACTACCTCCATAAAATTATTGTTTACATATTATAATTAGTGAAGTGAGTAATATAAATTATTAATCACACAATATTCAAGACAATTTTGTCTTGGGCAGTGGCAGTAATACCTACACATACTCATCATAGACCTCAGACGAATATAGTCTGGATAAAATAACATTAAATCTGTATAAAGTGTCAGCGGTCAAACAGATTATTGTACAGGTATGAAATGAATATGAAACTGAAGTTGGTTTTAGCCTACTTTTCTGCACCGACTGGGCATCTTAAATTATAATTAACTTCTACATTCCTTTAATGACTATAGAAAGTGGTTTACAGATTATTTGTTCTAGGAAATACTTTGGCAAGTAAATGTATATCCTTGTCTTTGTCATTTAAATACTCATATTGGGTCTACTGATCCTAACATATATATTCATAAAAACTAAAACCAAATTAAAACGTTGTAACAAGTTTTCGCCGATTTCTATGAATTTGCGGCTCTGGAATGGCCATTTAACGTAACATTTTGAGATCCTTTAAGGGGGCATTATTGGAGATAAGATAAAGAGATGGAAGTTCTCACTATCATAATTAAAAACTAGATAAAGTAAAGGGAATTTGCTGAAAATATCAGTCAAATTGATCCACTCTGAACCGAGATATAAGCTTTTGAATTTTAGGCCTAGTCTTGATCATCATTACTAAAGTCTGTATGGTAAAAAAAAAGTCTCGATTATCCATTTTTGAAATAAATCATCAATGAGCATTGATTCAAATCCAGTAAATATCGCAGGCTAGCGCTCACATCGAGAGTTGATTATGGTCTGGATAAGTTAATTGATGTCTAATTAATAATTTAGACAGCATTTCCAGCCTAAAGAAAGACCTGCAATTGGCAGATTTAGCTCTTGCATAATGTATGTTTAAGACTTTTTGGAAAAACATGATTTAAAATAGGAAAATATAAGTGTGCCTTATATTATTTTCAAAATAAAAAAGAACCAAATTTTAAATGGGAAATTAAATTGGATTTTTTAAAAATACACGTGGGCTGTCAGATGTTTATTCACTTTTTCAACCTAACCCATCAAAAATTTTAAAGTATGAGATTGTCACAAATGAAATGGGGCTTAAACTTCCTAATCTTCTGCACTGAATGGAATAATGCCATGCACTGTGCTATGAGTGAAACTTTGCCTGGACAGCAGCGCTACGGCCTACTGTGATATCGAATTCGAACTGTACACAGGACCTCGGTTTTTTCGTCCCACCTGGATTGAACCCGAAACCTTCAGGTTAGCAATCCAGTGTCATATTCACCGAGAGCTCCTGTGATTGTCACAAAAACAGTTACACATATTATCAGTAAATGTAAGAATATAGTAGCATTACAGGAAAAAAAATAAAAACTCTCCTGTCTATATAATGACAAAATAATCAATAAAACTGAGAACATAAAGATATCATAAAGATAACAGAGTAAACACAGTGGAACACAAATACCGTACTTAATAGATTGAATGCTCCCCACATCTAATAATTATCCATCATGTGTCATTTGGATATATTTTCGGTTAGTCAATCATCTTTATTTTATCAGATGTAATTATAGCAAAGAGAGAAAAATGGGGTTTAACATCCACTCAACACAAACAAGGTCATTTCGGGACTAACATATGGTTTAATTTTATTTCAATAATTCGCTTGCGCATAGGGGTCTTTAGCAGTAGGAGGAAACCAGAGGACCTGGAGAAAACCCACAAGGTTAGGCGGGCAACCCTACTCCTTGTCACGTACAACCAGGGAATCAAAACACGCCATTTGACTCAACAGACCTTATGATACAGTGCGCACTTGCTAACCATTCGTCCATCCAACTCCCCTTGTAATTTTAGCAATACAGTCATGCATGCAATGCTAGGGAAAAGAATTTTGCCCTGATAGAAACATATCAATCAGGTCACTCTTCATTATATTCCAACTGTCAAAGGTTCTTTTATGTGCAAAGCCAGTGTACCTCAGTTTTCCATTTAATTTGATCTGTATCATTTGACAACACTGTTACACTTTGGGAGATGCACTGGCTCAGTGGGTAAGGTGCTGGCTTGTTAAACAAGAGTTCCCATTGTTTGCCCTAGTCAGTGGTGCATGACAGAGACCAGGTAAGGAACAGTGTCTTATCTGTTTAATGGGGTAGACACAAAAGAACCCCTGACAGTTGGAATTTGAATAAAGAGTAGGCTGCAGTGCCACTGTCCGAGCAATATGTCCCTCATAGCACACTTAATGGTATATACCGGTCTTCATTAGTCTGAATGATGAAGAAAAAACAGCAGATAAAACTTACTAATAAAAGTACTTTGCTTTGTGTGAAAACAATTTATGTTTTGTCTATTTTGTTTTTTAATGTTGATAACATAAACACAACAGCGTAAATTTCAAAGTCTGTAACTACTGGTTTAGAGAATTGTTTGACACTTTCAGCCATGTCAAAGTCCTCATAATTGACATTATTGATTTATTTATAATTTAAATATGAGTGTCATTGAAGGTATAAGCAGAATGTTCAACCAAACTTTATTGCAAGTAGTGAATTTAAGTATATTTTGAATTGTGAATTTGAGATGTAATGGCTTGACAATAATTAGATTATAACAGTTTTAGAACTTGTAGAGAGAGAGGGAGAGAGAGAGAGTGAGAGATGGGGTTTAACATCCACTTGACACAAACTACATCATTTTGGGACTAACATATGGTACAATTTTATTTTAAAAATTTGCTTGAATGCAGGGGTCTCTAGTAGTGGGAGGAAACCAGAGGACCCAGAGAAAACTGACGAGATTAGGCAGATAACTCTAACCTTATGGTCTATAGTACATGCGTTAAACCACTCAACGAGACAAGTGGCAACCCTGCCAGAACTTGTTGGATTTATATAGCAGATATAGAAATTAAATATCAAATACTATGTTTATTTGATTAAATATGGTATTGTGATGTGAGTACAGTATATAATGAGACACAGTGATGGGAGATATCATCTAGATTGAAGCGTTTTACTTGGTAAATATAATACTGATAAATATCTTACTTGTCTTTTACCATCATTTTATTACATGACAATTATTGCATGATATCTTAATTATAAACTTGCATCATATTCAGTATTTTGATGTATAATGGATTGGGGTAAAGATAGGTTGCCAGGCAACAAAACATACCCCCACAGCAGCTAAATCGTTCCATTATCTTTTTGTACATTTCATACAGATCAATTGATAACTTTAGTTTTTAGAGCGTTCACAAGGTTCAACAAAGTCAAACAAGGGCCACAACTCTAGAAGTAATTAACAGAAATTATTGAAATTCAACAGGCTTTTTTGTTTTACTGATCTAAATAATGCATATAAATTTCATACAGATCGTATTTTAACTCTTGTCAATAGAGCGTTCACAAGGTTCAACAAAGTGAAACAAGCGCCATAACTCTATAAGTTATTAACGGAAATTGCAGAAAATAAATTCAGATCAGAGAATGACTTTGTCAGCAGGGCATTCAAAATGTTCAACATGGACCTTTAACTTCTTTGTTTTACTAATTTAAATAATGCATATAAATTCAATACAGATCGGATGATAACTTTAGTCGTCAGAGCGTTCACAGCGAAACAAGGACCATAACTCTAGAAGTAATTAACAGAAATTGTTGAAATTAAACAGGCTTCTTTGTCTCATTAATGTAAAATAAACGACATATAAAAATTTCAAAATGATCAGATAATAAATTTACTCTGTAGATTAAGAGTTCACAAGAAATTGTGAACTATGGATGGACCGACAGAGGCAATGGCAATATACGACCACATTTCCATGTGGGCGTATAAAAACTGAGTGCAATTTTTATATCTTGATTAAAGGAGCTAAATCGCTAATATATTGGATCTAGAAATTGACACAAATGGGTCGCGACGTATATAATAATGTATTGTGAATGTATATAAACTGATTTACATTCAATCGTTTCTGTTTTTACTGTAATTCCTAATCAATTGTATTCGGAGAAATATGCCAGAAGTCTCAATCCAATGGCAATCTCTAGCGTCTGGTTATTCCACTATACCGATAGTATTTATTGCGCATGCTCTCCAGAGAAGAATATGACGTCACCGTTTGACATGACTTGTGGAATATATATAGCCTCTTTCTACGCGTCCCTTATTAAAAATGGCGCTGAAATGCACCATGGTACACGATTCGTGTACCAACGGTAAAATGTCTATTTTATCTTAATTATTGGATATCAGAAGCCCATCTTTTCCTCATAAGATCACAACATAAATGTTGATTTAAATTGACAAATAATTTGTGTTTTCAATGTCGAAGATTTTGGATGATACTGAGTTAGAGACTTAGCTACTTTAACAAGACTGGTATCTGTCAAGATTCTTATGATCAAAAAATATAGTTCCAAAATTCATGTACTTTAAGCAAATATTATTAACAGAATGAATAAGCTAATAGTGTTAGATGAGCAAAAAAGAAAATTAAGCAATAAAAATAATCAATTCTCGATTGTTACAAATTTTAAGATTGTGTAAAAACGGGGAAGCAAATAGTGATGTAAAAACTTGAGTTACATATGCAAGGGCTCAAGTCAAAAAGGGTACTGAGTCTCCCCAAATCATTTAGTACTGAAATATGATTAGCAACATTAACAATTGTTTTACCTTTCTTTATTTATAGTCCAGAACGTCTGCTTTATTCTAGAACTCAGAAGGCCTATACATTTTTGACCCCCTATTATAATTCTGCTTTTTAACAAAGCAAGTTGCAAATTGTATCAAGTTGATTTCTATGTACCGGTACATTCATGTTTTGGCATTGTTAACAATCTAACTGTTGGATATGATATTCAGTTTGTCTGTGTTTTTTAAAAAATAAAATATACATGTATGTAACATATTTGCATATATAATAACAATGAAAAATACATAGAGTTACGACGTATGTCCCGCTAGTTCTTAAACCATTTCTAGATTTTCAACTGTTATATATAATATATTGATCTCAAAAAACATTAGCTTATTAATAACTTACCGTAATATCAGTTTGTAGAAACTAAGATATACGGGGGCAGACAAACTATTTCTATTGGAGGGAGTGAAGATAAATATGTTCATGTTTCAAGAGAGACAACTCTAAAACTATACCTACCAATTCCATCTCAATGTAATCATCAAAGTTTTCACTGTCTATTCTAACCAATACAGCATCCTTTGAATATGTTGTAAACCCTAGAGCTAGATTATCTCCTACTGTATTGGGTTGTTGATAAGCTGGATAACTAAATGTTAATAAACCTTCAGTTGGACCAAATCTGTATGAGGTACTCTCTAAAATAAACATCAATTGTATGAGTTGATGAATTCATATTTGTTATTTAAAGAAGGCTCTAAATTCTGTTTGCCAGGCAAGATATGCCCACATTTTGCAACAGATAGACAGAGAACAAGCTAAACAAAAACGCGCTTTTTTGTACAATCAGGGGCCATAATCAAGTTACGGTCCGGTCCGATATGCATGAATATCAAAAGAAACCGAGATCTTTTGGATATACATGTATATATATTTAAGTTTCATCAAGATTGGATAAAAACTGTGACTTGAAGGGGGTCCACAACCTTGGTATTACATACTATTACACTATTTGCGTACAAGTTGCAGCCATTTTGTCAAGCAGTTTCAGTCCGATCAGAAAAAAACTGTTACCTCTAGAGTTTCCACGAGCTAAAAAAATGTGATGTTTCATACAATTTAGGGGCCATAATCCAGGAAGTTATGGTCCGATATGCGCGAGATCTTTGGGTTATAAACATCCATTTCAAGGTTTATCAAAATTAAATAAAAAATGTGACCTCTATAAGGTCCACAACCTTGGCATTACATACTTTTAGACTATTTGTGTACAAGGAGCGGCCATTTATTTTTCCAGAATTTTTGATCGGATTTTCACGAAATTTGAACTCAACCTTCACTGAGGTGTAATGGTGATTTTTTTAAACAGTTTTGTTGGTTTTAAAATTGAATGCAAATTGTGATTTCTAGAGGGTCCACAAGCTAAAAACGTGACTTTTCTAATAATCAGGGGCCATAATCCAGGAAATTATGTTCCAAAATGTGTGATTATCAAAGGGCACCAAGATTTTTGTAATATAAATATAAATTTAAAATTTCATCAAAATCGGATCAAAATTGTGACCTCTAGAGAGTCCACAACCTTGATATGACATACTTTTACACTATTTGCATTTGAAGAGTCGCCATTTTGTCCGGCCGTTTCGGTCCAATTTTCGAACTCAACCTTTATTATGGTGTAACGGTGATATATTTAAACATGTTTTTAAATCGGATAAAAATTGTGACCTCTAGAGGGACCGCAAACTAAAAACGCGATTTTTCGTACAATCAGGGGCCATAATCCAGTAAGTTACGGTCCGATATGTGCCAATATCAAAAGGAACCGAGATCTTTGGGTTATAAACATACATTTCAAGTTCATTAAAATCGGATAAAAATTGTGCCAAAATAAGCCACCATTTTGAATTTGGCCCCTTGGGGAATTAGCCGTCATTTTTTAGGAGAAATACCCATACTCCTTGGATTCAGTGGGTCGAATTCTTGCAAAACCCATCTTCAAACCGAGGTCCGAGAGAATCTGTCACATATTTTACCCCACTAAATAACCAGAAAATGGCTCATGGCGGCCATCTTGAATATTTAAATTTCCCCAAGGGTGCCAGGGTGGCATTATCCGGATTCTTAATCTACACCTATTGAAGATATATAATCCACCAAAAAACATTAGGTGGACTATATTTCGACGTTAAGGCTTAAAATGGGGTTTGGCAACTGGACTATTTGCAGTAAACAATAAGTGTCCATGAAGACAAACCCAAAGTTGTAATAACAAATAAACTGAAATGTGTATTCACATAACTATATAAACAGTCATATTATAGGCTTTGCAGTAAACAATAAGTGTCCAAAGAAAAGACCAAAGTTGTAAAAACAATAAAACTATTCAAAATAAAACTGTGTTTTATGATAAACTCTGACTTTATCAAAGTATTGCAATATTTTTCGTCAATTATCACAATATATTACAATACGATTTTTGGGTGTAATACACAGCCCTAAACATATCGCACAATTTTATTTCAATAATTCATTTAAAAAATACTATAAAATTACACTTAATGATAGAATTTTCAAAATCATAGGATGCCAAACAATGAAACATACCATCCGTTGAAAACTTTGTTGTCATATAAAGTTATAGGTTAAATAATTCATTTGATAGTGCACCCCTAAAACAGAACTACACTTTAAATAAATAATACATACCATCACTACAGGTTGGTCCACTGTATGATGTAGAATCACAATCACAGACATATGAATTCCACTGTTGAACACATCGACCATCATTGGCACAACTATCAGGTTGACACTGAGTTGTGGGTCCTTTTGATACAAGAAAATACGACATAATTATTTATAGCAGATAAAATCAAAACTTTCAAACACAAAAATCTGAATTTTCTTAGCTTGCCGTACGTATACAGTACATCAAAGATGCTTAGAAAAGTAGCTACTGGTAGAAAACCAATAAAAGGATTTGCTGTAATGGCTGATCTCTGATTCCAAGGAAAAATTAATTAAAAGCTGACACTAATCTGATTTTGTACAAGTAAAAAGCTGTTTTTTTAGACCCAGTAACTAATGAATAATGGCAGGATTACCTTTGCAGCCTTCTACTATAGACTGATGAATAGTGTCTGCCTCTTTCACTAAATTAGGTAAATATCCATTTAAATCTAAAGAACCAAGACAGCCCAGGAAACCATGGCGCGACGTGATGACTTTTGGTAAAGAATGATACATAGTTTTACGAACACCACCTACAAACAATGAACCTTCCAGATCGAAGTGGAGAGCCTGAGACCCTCCTAAATTATCGACTGTCGGTGTATTATCATCCACACGTATTAATTGTTTATGTAACTCTGGCCTCAGCAGACGGACTTCATGCCATTTATTATTGTTTAATTTCTGATTGGAATTTATCTGGATGCTTTGTGCTCCTGCTCCCATATTGTAAATATAATACAGATATCCACCATTTAATTCAATGGCAAAAAAATCTTGGCCTCTTCCAGAATTGAACAAAACTAATCCACTATCTTCCGTAGTTTTAAATTGAAAAGATAACGAGAATTTTTTATAGGCATGTAAACAAGGGAGAGTAGCAAAAGCAGATGCTGCTTTAAAGGTGACAGGGTCACGAACCACATAATCATCAGTGCTAAATTTAGCAGTCACTTCTATGTTTTCTATTCGGCCGGATTTAGCCAGTTCAAAAAAATAATTTTGGTTAAACATCAGTTGTTGCATAGATCCTATAAATCCTGAATGATCACCAACAGAATTGTCATCTTTCATTTCCTGGCCTAAATCAATGTTACGAAACTCTAGTTCATCAGCTTCACCTGGTAAATCCCCTGAAAGTACAGATAGTCACTTGAAGAAATGAAAAGAAATATCAGTTTAAAAAATTCTTAATATCGTGATCTTTTAAATCTATTCCTAATTAATATTTGTACAATTGATAGGCCTATGTGAAAATTACAAACAACATCATCTCTATGGCCAGAAATCTAATAGATTAGTAAAAGTCTTTACCAATAAAATCAGAAAATGTCATTAAAAATGTTCATTATCTGTTGCCATTAATCTTTCCGTAAGAAATATCAATCCAAACAGGCCAGACTGTGTGTTTCAAGTATTTGGAGTTGTTCCCCTTTAGACACAAAATATCCTTATATGCAATATCAAATAACATCTATGGAACACATTTGTGCATCCAGAAGAATAAACATTTAAACTAAAGATATATCCATGCATTAATGAAGAGAAAGAAATATATATTCATAAATTAAATAATGAAGAAAAAAGGAAACTTCAAATGTATTTTGGAAAATAACTGGTGCTATTATAACATATAGAAACACGTTAAGGAGTGCTAATTTTCTTCAAAATCATAATTAACAAAAAAAAACAATACCACCATATTTAGAACCGAATATATAAATAACAGTAATATATCTGTACAACATTTATAAAATAAATATTGACTATACCCGGTATAACCCTATCTTTATAACCTAACACTATATATCTGGTAGATAAAGTGTTCTCTTGACCAGGTAATTTTTCTGTAAAAAAGAACTAATTCTTAAGAAAGCTTTAACCCTTTCAATGCTAGACTTAAATCCACTGCCTGTGCTAGACCCTTTTTGAGGAAAAAAGGGAGGTTGGAACTGAATGCCAAGCAGTACTTATGGAAGCTTTTATGAAAAATCTTTTAGTCTGTTGGGATGGGCATGTGGTTGGGCTAAGAGGAAAAAATAGAATTTTGGAAATTTGCATAATAATGTAGTCACGTGACGTCATGGGGGCCATTTTGGATTTCTCATTTCTCACTAAAGCTAACACGAAAATAAATTTTTCTCCATGAAATACTTAAAAGATATTGTTTTTTTCACTGGATTTTAATAAAGATATATAAAATGAACAAAAATATCAATAGCAGCCATGAGCAATGCCGCCACGAACACGCGCATCACGTCTCCCGCTGCCATGACCAAGTGCGGATTGCAATACCTTGTTTTTACTTTCACTTTCATCCCCAAGTCCCATATCATTATCAATATAGTCAGTCAATAGATCTACACGTTCGGGACTCAGGAATTGCCTACGTCTTTTACGATCCAGCAGGCCAGCATTATTATCAACATCAGAATTATTGTCAGAATCTACTGCAGACACAGGGCTATCGTGTTCACATTGGGCTTGTTCATCATGCACGGGAGACATAGCTAGCCATGGGCGGAACGTCGCGCAACAAATCACACACTTCATAATACCAATCACTGTCCTGACTACTATCATTATCAAGTAACTGGAAACGAATTATGTGTATCACCCGCCTCGAAATTGTCCACGTGTTGGTCAGCAAGACGTCATTCACGACTTCGTCGAGAGTGCATCGTCTACGTTGTCACTATGCACTCTGCCATTTTACGGTTTGCCTCTTTGAAACACGTGGAAATATGTTCTAGTGTATAGAAAATACAATAGATGGCACTTGCAGTTACGGTACTAATTTTAGCGAGGGCTTTACTGAGTACACGGTAATACCGGGTACGCGCATTTTACCGACATTTTATAATACCCGGTACTACCGGGTATACGCAGTTAAAGGGTTAAAACCTGTTTTTGAGTATGTGGAATAAATCTTATGCGCAAAAGAAAATATCTCCCAAAATCTACCATTGTGGGCTGGCACAATGAAGAATTATCTGTCAAAGAGTAGCAGGCAGGAATGAGGTGTGGTCTTTTTAGATTGATTAACAAGTTGCTTGAATTATGTAAGGTTACTGTACATCAGGGATTCTGTTTCAAAATTTTGCATTCAGACGTTTTTAGTTGAGGCTGGAATTCTGTCACTAGAAGTGTCTAAACATTGCTTATTTTTTTTTAAATGAAAAGGTATTATAAAATTACATTGCTGGATTAATTACTTGTTATTTGTGCAGTTTTCACATCAAATTTAATCTATGAATAATCAGCTGCAAGCTTGTATATTTCCGCGACTATCAAAATTCTGTTAAATGGGCTAATTACTTGAATCATAAACTGAATAAGGCCGCATTCGCCACTTATCTCCCAGGAATATACTTACAGATTAAAATATTGTGTTATGCTAGTTGACGTCGAGCCCATTTTTATTTCTGTGATTATAGAAATAATTTGGGGTATCAGAAGGCTACTTACTGGACGTGTTATGAATAACCAGAAAGCTTGTATACTGAAAACCACTGCTACACATACTTATTACTTGGATCATGAACTGAATGATTGAGGCTGCATTCACCACATGGCCATTTCTCACAAAAGTATGACTGACAAGGATAAGCTGACCAGTTGATTGACTTCTTAATCAACAAGTAATAATTAACTCTTTGTAATTGTGACAAAAGTAGATTGATAAATAGAAATATTATTAATACTGGACTTCAGGTATAACATAACATTAGGATAGGTGACAGTCTTGACATGCCATTAGTGGACCTCAAAGAGCTTCAAATGTTCAAAGAAGAAACCATGAATCGTTTTCAGGATTAATATATAAAGAACACCGCAGAGATTAAATATTTAATCAAGGTAGGTGTATAACACTACTAGATCACCTAATTACTTTATTAATCCCCCCTGAGAATAGTATTCTACTGTTTGCACAATGAACATTTTGAGTTTGATTCACCATATCTAATTCATATGAAACAGAATCACTGCTGTACACACAGTATTTTCTTTTTATAATCAATTGGAAATATTTGTCTCTGATTACATGTTAGAAATCCATAGTCTGGATGTAAAAGTTATAAATATACAGTACCTGTAACCGGGCGATGTCCATCTATAGCTAATTCTATTGTCTGAGCTCTTCGTTTAATGAATACTGTATGCCATCTATCATCATTGAGGACATTGCCTACTGTTAAAGACTGAAAAATCAAAACAAAATATAATTAACGGTCTACATACATGTAATTGATCTTACATTGAGAGCTCAAGGACGAGTCATTAGATTATGTATTTGTTGATAGTCAAAGCTCATATTTATCCAAGAAAACGATAATATCAGATTAAAAATTAAACAAAATAAATGAAACTTGACAAGTCTACAGAATGATGAGTTCTCAATATTATGCTAAATCTTAATAATTTAACAGATAAAAGGCCATTAATATCAGAAAATATTTTTCATAATAATTCTCCATTAATTTGTCCTTTCTTTTTGATTTGAGTAGTATATTCCAACCATTAGTAGAACATGTAGAATCTGCCAGATGCAGACTTTCTACATACATGTACCTTCACATAGCAGTTATTTCTTATTAATATTAGGCCTTGTTACAATTAAACAAGTATTCAATAGAAAAGAAATAAACAAGAGGGATACATTTTTTTCTTGTTTAAAACATAACTATTGGGAATCGTGCCTAAATAACTTATCACAAATAATGCTGTTAATGGCAGTTATGGGCTTATCTCATCATCTGCGATTCAAATAATCATATCAATTCTAATAGGACACTGCCTAAATAAATGTAATTACAAATCTCATTCTAGTTTTACAAAATAATAATTTACCCCTCTTGCTGTCGGCCTAATGTAAGTTCATATTATTAGCAATAAAAAAATTGTTGTCTGCAGCCTATGGACATATATTAAGAACAATTTTTTTTTAGTCTATCTAATTCCAATTCTGCTCTCTCAATGTCCTGATACTTTCAGTCATTTCTGTCACATAAATAATTAATGGAAAATAATGCCTTAAAGCCTTTTTAAAAATATGCTGATGAATGATCACTATTGTTGTAAAAGAATCTGGTTCGCTCCTAGTAGTTCAAATGGTACAAAAAAACACCAATGTCCTATGCATACACATTTCCATTCACAAGACAATTGGAATTTAAAATAAGAGTAAGCCCAAGGCGCTGCTGAATGGGCGACAAATATCATTTCACATTTTGGGTAATATAGTGCTGGATATAAAGTCAGCGAAACACTTTGATATCAAAGCTACAGAGAAAATTCTTACCTTTGCCCCACTTCCAACATCTACATTTAATTTAATAGAACCTGAATCTAGATATAGTTCCATCACGTCTGTTGTTTTATCTGATGACGTCATAAATAACAAACCATTCGGATGCATGGTACGGAATCTTAATGATATGTCTTCTGCTTCTGTTAGCGATTCTTCTGGCATTGTGACCTTCACATACTGGGTACCATCATATCTTAATGTTGTTGATGCTACAAAATAAAAAAAACAATTTGAATCTACTTGCAAACAAATAATTTATTGTCTTATGCCAAGCTCTGAAAGTCAGGTCATTTCTCAGATGTTATATTGCTGCAACATTATCAAGATTATAGTACCAAATTACAACCAGATCTAATAGACTGGAATAAAGCCTGAATAAATTGTTTTTACAAGCTAACCGATCTGTCATTTCTTGACAATTTTCTTGGTTGAAAAAATAGATGTTGGGCTTATTTACTATTTTATTCAAGTAAGTGAATCTGATGTGATCCCAACATCAAGAGAATAGAATAGATTTTTATTGCATCAAAATATCCTTCAAGAAAAGCAGCAGTAGACTCCTCCCAAATGACTTTTCTCCACTTGTTAGGATTTTATCCTTCTGTTTCTTATCTTTAATCATTAGACATGATTATCTTGTCAGTGGCGAGTTCAAAAAAGATCTTTGCACATTTTTGTTTAAAACTGTTCAATATAATTTCAATATAACAAAATCCTGCAGGATATATTTTGACTTGAAATTGTCTCTTATAATCAGATAGAGTCTAACCCGTTGGGTTGAAAAGTAGACAGACTGTTGGCTCAATTCGTTTTTCTTGTAAAATAACATTGTTATCGTTATTATCAGAACATTAAAACTCATAGTTTAAATAGATTATATGCTTATTGTCTGAACAACAGATCAGACATATTTGAGCTCTAACCCTACATTCGTTTCTATGCTATTTTGTAAGTACAAAAAAAGCTGTATGTGACAACAAAAGTACAATACCAATGGTTGCCAAGCAACAAAAATAACAAAAAAAAATATGCGATTTTTTGTACTTTCAGGGGTAATAATGCAGGAACTGAGATTTTTGGGTTATAAACATACATTTGATTTCTAGGGGGTCCACAACCATGGTTCTAGATACTTTCAGACTATTTGCGTACAAGGAATAGTCATTCTGTCCGGCAATATAGGCCAGATTTTTTCCAAAATTCAAACGCAACCTTCATTGGGGTGTAATGGTGATATAATTAAACGGTTTTTAAAACGGAATACAAATTGTGACTTCTAGAGGGTTCACATGCTAAATGATGCTCAATTATCAAAAGAAACTGTGAACTTTGTGATATAAACATAAATTAAAGTTTCATCAACATGAAATCAAATTTGTGACCACTAGAGGGTCCACAACACTGATATACGATACTTTTACACTATTTGCGTAATGGGCAATGATCAAAAGTAACTGTGATCTTTGTCATATAAACATAAATTTAAAGTTTCATCAAAATGAGATCAAAATTGTGACCTCCATAGGGTCCACAACTCTGATATACAATACTTTTACACTTTTTGTGTATGAGGAGTGGCCATTTGAGTGATATATTTGAATGTTTTTTTTAAATAGGATAAAAAATGTCACTTACAATCGGGGACCATAATCCTGGAAGTCACGATCTGATATGCGCAAATATCGAAAGGAACCAAGATCTGTGGGTTATAAGCATATATTTCAAGTTTCATCAAAATCAGATGAAAATTGTGACCTCTAAGAGTGGCCACAAGCTTTAAAATGTGATTTTTCGTACAATCAGGGGCCATAATCCATGAAATTACGGTCTGATGCATGCCAATTTTGAAAGGATCCGAGATCTTTAGGAGATACTTATATTTCAAGTTTCGTCAAAATGGGATAAAAATTGTGATACCCATGCCTTTGTTTTTAACCACATGAAAATGTGGGGGTGTAAAAAAACTATGAACTAAATATGATAAATCATACCAGGTGGTATAGAGCAAGTATGCACTGTCTTGTTCATAACACCAGTTACTATTTTTATAGCTGATGGACTGATAGTATGGACAATTATTTTAGAAGACAAAGTCACTTCAACAAAATAGTTAACAGCACTTAATACAACAAACATTGAGAAGTGTTATAATGTGGTCTGGAAAGGACAACTTTCTAAAGCTTGGTCATAAACTAGTCACTACTTCCCTTCGAGTAATTTGTAGTTTTTTATCTGACATGTATTGGAATACTCGGGTAGTTCACAATGCATTGATTTTTCCTGATTATTAAACGATCCAAATCATTTTCAGACTCACTAGACTGATAACCAGAGACGGCTCTGTTTTCAAGAATAATAACCCCAAAACAAACAAGTCATAAATATGTCTGTCCAGCAAGGGAGGTGGTAATTTAAATATTTCAATTATTTCATTAATTTTTGATCTTATATGAATCAATGTTTACTTGGATATTGAGAAATTGTGGATGTAAATCACAGCAGACGCTAGACTGTTAAATCTCTTCAGGGTTTCTTCCAAAGATTACTAATGTGCTGCATAGAGGAATTCTTATCTAATCGAATTCATAGTCTGTATTAAGAATGCTGCGATTGTGTAGGACAAATTATTACATAAAACAGAGGTGAAGGGAAAATTATTTGATGATGGAATTGATTAGAGTCTGGCATGCAGATCATGGTAGATAGAAACTGTACTTCCATTTAATTCTTATAATCACATATTTATCCAGAACACGTTCTTGTACTTTCACCAAAAACATTTACATATCCTTTTTGTTTATCAATTACCTTTATGTACAGGACTTCAACAGAATTGTCTTAATTAAATTTCGTCGATATGACATGCTTTCCATTTAAATTCTATTTTTTGTCAATCTGTTTTATTTCCTCAACTAGATGCCATTTTGGAAATCATTTAACATTAAGGCCATGAAATGTACAGATACTTCCTGGTAATAAATATTTTCTAAGAAAGTTTTTAGTGTTGGCAATTTGTTTTATCATATTTGGTTTGCAATAAATCTAAAATCAATACTTTATAATGAATTTTTTTTTACTAAATTCTCGAAAACATTAAGAATCAAATTTTAGGGAAAAAGGAGGCAAGAGATTTAAAGAATCTATTACATCAAATTTAAGTTCATTTTAGCTTCAATATTTACTTCTGTACCCATTAGGCATTTGATACAATCATCTGTCGATCACTTAGTGAAAATAGCAGACGTCTGAAACAGCATGTGTACAAAGAATCTAAAAGGATTGATAGAGTCAATTTAATAAAACATCGCACAATTGCAAGGTGGGAATATGATTTATGCAAAAACTTATTTTGATCTGATTCAAAATGGCAGCCATAATGAAAGAATTCATGTATAGTTTTCTAAAAACATACAAAATAAATACAAAATCATCAAAATATATCTTTTTCTGTTCATTCATTCATTTGAAGCTGTGAAATGTCAAATTTTGGGAAAAGTTGTAAATTTATTAATAAATACTAAGAAGGCTAAGGCAAAGCAAGGCAATATTTGAAAGGGAAATTCTAAACACCTATATTACGATGCATTTATATATACTCTTCAAAAAAAGTAGGGGATGTTCAGAAACAACACAAAACTGCGGAAATGCACTGCTGTTTTTATTAGAGGTGACCAGTGTATGTTAATAACAGGCCAATTGCCTACACATGAACATAAACAGTTTATATGGGCAGCTTATCTGACGGCCCCATTTCACTCGCAAATAGATACACCGTCAAAAGTGAAAATGGACGTTTTTGATTTTTGTCTTAATAATGAGTAATTGCTCCACCAATCCTCAGACATTCAGCAATTCGTCATGGCATGCTCCAAATCAACCGTTCAATCACGATTTTGGGCAATCTAACCCACTCCTCTTGCAGTGCAAAGGCCAATTCTTGCAGTGTTGTCGGTTGACCTTGACGTCGAAGAACACGTCTCCCGATCAAATTAAACGTAACACACTAAAGCAAAGATACGCTAAACAGTAAATCTTATGCAAGAACCGATAGAAAAGCAAACATGGATAGATAAACCAGCACCCGGCAGTTTTCATCAACCCTTCCTTGAGGTGTCAAATTTGACAATGAACCCCTCCCACGTGTATGGCACTATTACGTGTTGCATGTGCAGCTCAGTGGTTCTGTTGGGGTGATAAGTTCGCATGCACCACATTCCTTAGGGTATAAGAAATAAGTATGAAAAGTTTCAAGACGACCCATTGAGAATTGCAGCCTGCAGGCGACACACAGACATGCAAAGAAAAAATGGGCATGGCTCTGCCCTTGCCCCTGGGGGTTGGGCATGCACAAAGAAAAAATAGGGGGTGATTCTTAGGGTATAAGGATTAAGTATGCAAAGTCGAAAGATGATCTGTTAAGAAATGCCTCCTGTAGATGACAAACAAATACAAAAAATGGGGGTGGCTCTGCCCCTGGGGGTCGGGCATGCACAAAAAACAATAGGGATCATCCTTTTGGTATAAGGAATAAAAAAAAAAATCTTTTGGGATATTTTACCATTATGACAGAAAAAATTCATACTTTTAGTGGAACTGACTTTTCAAATATGATTTATAGTAATTTAATTGCTACTTTATACAACTGAATTTTATATCATTGGAAAGCAAACAAAAATCTGTACATTTTTGTAATTAAGTATTTGTATAAAAAATTTCTTTTTTAGTTATTTGCAGTTTTGAAGAGGGTATCAGGATTAACAATAATCCACTAATTGGCTTAGAGCCCCTGCTGAGTTAGGATAGGATAGGATAGCTAATCAATTAACTGGCTCTAAAGAACAATGGGTTAATTCTGCTATATTTTTAGTAGTTTTGGATGTTTTATTTGCAACTGTTAGTTGAAAGAATGATAACCTTCATAGATAACAAATTGACATTTCTCAGTATGAGGGGTTATAAATGAACATAATAACATCATTTTGAAGCACATGAATTTGTACCTTATTTGAATGTTAAATGGAAAAATACTGTCAACACTGCAGCCCTCTCTCCACCCCGGCCCCCTCCAAAATGTGCCATGTAAAAAAGTATTGACCAGAAATCAAAATGAAATTTGTACCATCTTTAATCATGATAAATAAAGCTGTTTGTTTGTATTAAAACTGCTGAACCACCAGATTTATCAAATAAGCTGATTGATTAAGAAAAA